TGTTCAAACTTCTTTTTTTTTTTCAATTAGAAATATATTTATCAATGAAGTAATGGAATAAGTCAAGGATTAGAGTAGAGAATTAGTATATATTAGAGCGGTTTTCTGTACATGAATGGTAGAGGGGATTCTAGTCGGGAGCATTTGCTATTATGCTTATATATATTATCTTATGCTTTGATTTTATTATTTTTTTTTCTTTTATTTTGGTTATCTTTGATATTTTTACCGTCTGTATTTTTTTCTTCCATATTTTCATTCTAGGTTTTTTGTTTTGTTTTTCTTTTAAATCAAGTTCTGGAAAAAGAAAATAAGTGAAGGATCTAGCGGAAACAATTTCTCTCTATCTCATAAAAATAAAGGTAAAGTATACGTATATCTCATTATGTCTAGAGTCTACTAAAAATTTACTAAGTATATTGTTGACGTTGTTACAATATCAATGAAGTAATGGAGTTTTTACCTTTAGGTATATTTAATTAAAATAACCTCTGCAAGCATTGGTTATAAAGGGATACCCTTAATCTTGATTGATAGGATCTTAATGTAAATATTAAATATCGAATAAATAAATAAAAAAAGATAACTTATCACACAAAAACACAGGTGTCAAATTTTATGCAATTTTCTATGGATAAGTTATTTTGACAAAATGTTTGATAGACTCCTTAACTTTGTCATTTAGAGTTGATATATCTTTTGTTATGAAAGCGATTCATATATATTCTTATCCTTGTATAAATGGCTCGATCACATATACTCCTACCGTTACAAAAGAAGCTCACATATATTCTTCATCTAATGGAAGTGGAATAAATAGTTTTAAATTTATTTTTTTTGTGAATTTTTAAAAAATTAATGTTGGGTATATATGATCCTTCTAGCAAAGTTCAAGGTATATTTTAACTTTTTTCGTACATAAATAATCTTTTTACTTTGATTATCATTATTTGAGTTTCTTATTCTTTTTTTTCTTTCATTCTTTAGTGTAAAGAAAAAAAATTAAAACTAATATTTTTGCAACTATATTGTAATTTAGTTTTTCTATTTGTAAAAAAAAATTGGGACATCTCTAATAAAATATCACAAGAAAACTAGTGAAACATAAATAAATTTGACCATCAAAATAATAAATTTAAATTAGTTCTTGAAAAAAAAGTCAAAAAATACGCGGAGGATCAAATATATCTCATATGGATTATATTCTTTTCAAAAAAATAATTTAAAAATTAAAATTAAAATTATTTTTTTCACTTCCGTTAGAGGAAAATGGTATATGTGTGTCAGTTGTATAACAGTAGGAGTATTGGGCATATATGAGTCACTTTTATAATGAGGGATATATCAGATCAAAATAGCAAAGTTGAGGGATATATCAGGCTTTTTTTCCTAATAATAATGAGTAATAAATAAGCCTAATTATGTGAATTTGTTAAACATATGATTAGTACTTTCGATGGAACAGAAAGATTTGTTAATCTTATTTTGTCTTTTAATTCTGAAAAAGGAAAAGTCAATATAACTGACCGTCCCCAGCGTAAGCCAAAATTATTTGTTCTTTTTTCTTTATTAAGAAGTCATGAACATTGACTAAATTCTGAGGAATGTGGGTTATATTATTAGATGGGTCGGATCAGGTTAAAATTAGGTAATTTAAATAAATGTGTTATTTTTGTTGATTTGAGGGTTTCCATCCAATTGAGGGGTACGAGTGACAAGTGTGTAGATGACGAGGGTAAAAACAACTTTATTTTAACGGTAAGGGTAAAGTCAATTAATAAATGAAAGTTGAAGGGTATTTTTGACCTTTTTCCCTTTATTTTTTAAAGTTTATTTGTAAAATTATACTGAAACTATTATTATTGTAGATATTATCTACATAATTAGATCATTATAAACATAGATAGATTAAGAGACTTTCATTATAAATTCACGTAAATTAATAGTTTTTGCTCAAATCAGATCATTTAAGTATTAACTTGAAATTGTAGATCCACCCATGATAATAAAATGGTGATAGATAATTTTGTCTGATAAGGATTTGAAGTGGAAAAAAAGATAAATACTAACTTACTATGAGAAGTTAAATTATACTATTATAATTCAAAAAAAATTTATATTGCTAATCGTATATATAAAAAATATGAATCTCCATAAGAGCGGAGCAATGATTTAAACTTTAGTGTCTCAAATTTTAGGATAGTAAATATGAATTAGTAATTGAATTCAGAATTTAATTGTTGTATATATTTAGTTGGCTTTTTAATACGAATTCAAAGTTTAAACTAAAATTATTGAATTAGATCGACTCCAAATGTAACCTTTTAGATTTACCCTTATTTTTCGTATAAAATATATGTATAGTAGCACTTGTGGACAAGAGCGGAGCATCAATATCAGGTATAGATTTGAACAAATTTGCTTAAATAACCTAAGTTATATCTACACAAAAATATTCACGTATAAATATTTGATCACATTAGTATTTAACAATCTAACACAAATTACGGATTCGATAACAAATTCAATATCATATAGACTTTTAGGGGTGAGAATGGGATAAACACAATTATCCTTCTTACATCAATTGCTTTATCTATCTTATTATTAATCACATGTCCTGTATTAATGGATTCACGATTATCACCGAAGATTGTAATGAATATGATGAATAAAAAATTATCGCTTTAAAGAGGTACATAATAAGCTAACAAATATTTGTCGAATGAATTCTACTAATCCATAATAAAATATTTAATATGATAAAGATTAAATCTGTCAAAAAATTATTTCATGACTTTGGTCATTAAATTTGTGAATTTGGAACATGACATGTCAATTTATGAGTATTATTGGCCATTAATTAGAAGAGACTTTTTTTTTTGTTTTAAATAGAGTATTTAGCAGTGCCGGTCAAACAAATAGGTGAAAAAAATGTACTCACTCCAACTTTTTGTAAACAATCTTCTTAAAAGATATTTTCAACAAACCTAAACAACAGTATTCGCTTCGAATTTCTTATAAAAATCAATTTCAAAATTTAAAATTCAAACTCGCCTTTTCAAAATTTGCGCCTACCCTCCAAGCCAAACTTTAGTTATACTTTTTGGTTTGAAGTATAAGACTCTCAAACGAAACTTCAGAAAAAAATCGTAGTTCAAAGTTTTCTTGCCAAACTTTCTTTTTGCGCACTATGTTATAGCTACATGATAATACCCAAATCGAGTATCTATGCACTTGCCCCATCGAGTAGTTTTACAATAAGTTGGACTAACAAATGAATAAGCTAACAAGATTATATTTTCATGAGCTAATTTTTTCACTGTTTCTAAAATTTTAAAAAAAAAAAACAACAACACCTAGCATTTTATTATGATCATTTAAAGTATCACAACACATTTAAAGGGTACCCTACCTATGAAGGAATTCAAGAACAAGTCAGTCAACCATTTAATGTGTTATTTCCCTAACTCAATTAATTCCTACACCACTTGAGGATTGTATATTGAAAACTTCATGTTTTTTGGCAAAAGTCATTTGATAAGATTTGTTCAATTATTTGGTTTTGAGTTTAGACATTTGAACTTTTCTTGCAAAAGACCTTACCAAGAGGTAAATTGTGCACATGAATTGTGAAATTGTCAACTATTTAATGCAACCATTTAATAATGGGAATCATGAATCATGTAATGTACAAGCATTCCAATGCATTGTGCAACACTATAAAGCATGAATAACTCAAATTACTATGTGACCATATTGGACCAACAATCAAAACTCTAGGTAATTTTTCTCCTAAGTCATGCAAGTAAAACGGCGATGTCTGAATCACCTTACGCACACCTTGACTATTTCATAACATATATGTTGTCTCCCACTAACACACAAAGGCGCATTATAGACTATGGCTTCAAGTTCGAGATTATACCACATCTCGTTTGATGGAGAAAATGTCATAAATAGTCCCTCAACTATAGAAGTAGGTCTAAAATGATCCCTTAATTATATTTTTGTCTAATTTAGTCCTTCAACTATTCAAAAAAACTTATCAGACTTGGTCCTTTAACTATACATTTATCAATTTTAGTCCCCTAACTATACATTTATCAGTTTTAGTCCTTTAAGTTTTTTTTAAAACTTATCAAGTTTGGTCTTTGTCCATTTTTTATACAAATAATTTAGGTTTATATTATGGAATTCATGTCTTTAGACATTAAATCTTTAAGCCATTTTTTCAGTTGTTTCTCTCTCCCTGGTCCCTGCCACTTTTACTTGAAATTATCCTTATGCAAAGAACCTTAACCTCAACGATTCAATAAAATAAAATTTTATATGCTTCATTCTATCCTCCATTGAATAAAATTAGAACTTATATCTTCCGTCCTCATTAATTTTATTTTGAATCTTTGAGGTTATTGTTATTTTCACAAGAGTAATTTGAAGTAAAATAGCAGTGATAGAGAAATAACTTTAAAAAATAGGTTAAAGATTTAATTTCACCAAGAGTTCCATTAATATAAACCTAAGCTATTTGTATAAAAAAAATGGACAAAGACCAAATCTGATAAGTTTTTGAATACATAAAAGAGTACAACAGTTAAGTCTATAGTTAAGGGACCCAAGGTGATAAGTTTTTGAATACTTAAAGGACTAAAACCGGTAAGTATATAGTTAAGGGATCAAAGTCGATAAATTTTTGAATAGTTAAAGGACCATTTTAGACTTACTTCTATAGTTAATGGACTATTTATGAGATTTTTTCTTTGTTTGATGTACTAGGTCCAAAATCTATATATTTTTTTGTTTTTATTTGGTATTTATTTAAAAACACATACAAGGCAAGCTAACACTGGTAACGAGTAACATCAAGGGTTAAACCGATGAGAAGAAATCACCCAGTGTTAGTTGTGGGATTTGAACTTTGGTCTTATCACCAACTTCATTGAGTAAACGAATTGGTTTATATATATGCAATGATTCATATACCAAAAGAGGCTAGAAGCATGAGAAATTGTAGGAATTTCTTACTTCACTGGTTGAAGTTTATGTTAACATATATAATACATAGATATAATGACAACAATAATAGACTACAAAGCAAGACAGGAGATGATAGTAACAACAAATCGACGATAAATGAGGTTGTAGACTTGTAGTAATAGTCTCTATTCATTTACGTTATCCTAAACAGCTGGAGAAAGGTTGATCAATTTGGCCGCGGAATACACTGCCATCCTGTACAATGTTGAAGGTAGTGTTTGAGATCATCGCTGGGACGTTCAACAGTCCAGGTTTGGTAGAACTCGGATGGATTGAAGACGTTATTTTCGCTGTAAGTAGACAATAAACCAGCCTGAGTTCCACAAACAAACAAGTCATCTTCAGATTTAATGCTACCAGTACATGCTTCCTCCTTGTCAGCTGCCTGTAGGATGACATAAAGTGCCAGTTAGGTAGTGAAAGAGACTCTTTCAGCTCAAGTGATCATTAAAGATTAGCAATTTAAGAGTTGATGGTACATAAGCAAAGCAAAATTTCAAACATCAATAAGTTGTTATTTAGAATATATGCGACAAAGACGCTTTAATAGTGCACCCAAGGGTGTGGCATAGTGGTCAATCAAGTGTGTGAGAACCACGAGATCTTAGGTTTAAATACGAGCAGAGACAAAAAGAAAAAACACTACATGATTTCTTCTCATCTGTCCCGTGGAATTAGTTGAGGTACACGCAAGTTGGCTTAGACACAACAGTTATCAAAGAATAGACGCCTTAAAAGTTCCGTGAGCTTTCCTTACATGACTTCCACTTCCATTAATAATGTTGATACAAATATGAAGCATCTAGGGCCCTAATAAGGGCCCCTAAAGGGTGTTCTATACAACTGGCTGATAGAGACAGGATAACCACCAAAAAGCCATGTGCCATATATTGAAAGGGGGGGAGAATGAAATGCCTCTTTCTCTAACTGTCCCACTTTGACATTTTGGAGGGAGGCATTGAAATGAAGGGAAACACACGTATAACTAAATGCATATACGGAACTACGAAAGAAAAAATTTAAAGGGAGATTGATATGGAACAGGAAATTTTCAGCTCAAACAGAGATAACTTTCCATCAGTTTGATCACTAATTCTCTCAAATGGAAAAGCCAGCAGAAATTTTGATTTACAAAGGACATGCAATTGACCATTTAATTAGGCTGTTGGTTCACTTTTTAGATATAACAAGAAAATGGGTGTGGAATGAACTCGACGTTGGATTTGCTCAACTTACATCAAGTTCTTTTTCTCCAAATTTGATGAGCAACCATAGTCCATAAGCATAGAAGTCCACTAGAAAAGAAGCAGTGATGAAGGAGAAGAAAGAGGGACAAGTTTGTTCTGAGCTAGTCCAATAACTAATATAAAATATAACTAAAGAATTAGGTGTCCAAGCCAGCTTGCGCGCACCTCGACTAATTCCACAGGTTACCTATTTATCTCTATGAATACTACCTCTATAAATGAAATAATGGTAAGCCTAGGGCACGAACATGGCTCAATAGTGTCTATACAATGCCCCTCTCTTCTTCGCTCATCTCATTGGAAACCAAAGACGCTTCATCATTACAATCCATTCCTGGAGAAGCGCGCACATGCTACTTTTCTGCTGAATGACATCAATAGTGTCTATACATAGCCCCTCTCTTCTTCTCTCGAAGTCTAAGAGGCACCGCATCCAAACGGACCAGGCACATCAAGTACCTCGAAAATGAGTAGCATAAACGTGGGTTTCCAATTGCCAGAAGGAGCAAGAAAATCTCAAAAAGTTGTACCATCCCAAAGACTCATTGGAACCAAAGACGCTTCATTATTACAATTCATTCCCGGAGAAGTGCACACATGTTACCTTCTGTTGAATGACAAATAAGCTTTACCTACAAGACCTCAATCTCATCATCGGAATCTGTCTTTTGATTATAATCACGAACAGATGGAATAGTTTTATTTAAAGTTAACCCATTTTCTTACCATAACACTCAAATAACAAGGATTGACACCACAGGCTATATTTTGTGACTCCATATTGGCAGAGTTTACATGAAGCAGAATTAATTATAGATTAGAATATAGATTGAAAATTTCATTTGCAGTTTTGGATTCTAGGTTAAGACTACTCAAATCTACTGTGCAATTCAAGTTGCTGTTCAAGAGAACGAATTGGTAATTTTTGCATTAAAGAAAAGAATAGATGATAATCACATAGTTGTGGGAAGCAAAATAAATACTCCTAAGTATTAGTAGATTTACCTTCTCTGTTAGATATTTAAAGGCCACCTTTTTTTGTCCAGCTTCATATATGTTGCATTGTGAATATATCTGACACGAGAGAGATTTATGTCATCAATAACAACAGCATGGACAAATATTACTGAATTTACACAACCCTATTTCCCAGCCCTTCAAAAGACGAGAGGAAAATGTTGCTAAAAAGCAGTACTACCTGTGATTCTACACTTGCGCAAACAGCATAAATTCCCCAGTTCCTGGTGTAATTATTGTACAAATGTACTTTGGCAAATCTAACACGAGGATGCCGCTGTCTAGTTCCGTCAAAAAAACAATGGTGAATGGTGACCCTCATACATCTGTCACCACAATTAGAAGAATCTCCTCCAATAAGCATTGTTTTATTATGCTTTGAAAAGTGACACCTGGTTGCAAAAACAACATCCAAGATTGAAAAAAAAAATAGATGTCATAACAAAGATATCTGATAAAGCTGATTCAACTGACCTAGAAACAGTAATATCTGTGCTCTCTTTTGTGATGTCAATTAAACCATCGTCATAATCGCTAAGGCTACAACGATCTATCCAAATATGCCTTGACTTTGGTTTAATCTGAATGCCATCAACATCAGGTCCTCTACCTCCCTCAAACTCTAGATTGCAGATGATAACATGTTCACATTCTTTCAACCTCAAACCTTTCCCTGTGAGTTTGATTTTTTGGCCTCGCCCGTCAATAGTTTTGAAAGAGGACACACTCAAATGAGAACGGAGCTCAATGGTCCCTGAAACTTCAAAGACAATCCACAAAGGTTCTTTTTTACGACATCCATCTCTAAGTGATCCTGGCCCATCATCTACAATAATATGAGAAAGATAAGTCCAATAGTATTATGAAAGGCACTGACCAATCTAAGATAATGACATAAGTGGGGTCTGGGGAGTGTATGCAGACGTTACCCCTACCTTGGGAGGTAGAGAGGTTGTTTCCAATAGACCCTCGGCTCAAGGGAAGATGTGGAACGGAAAACATGAAAGATAAGAAAGCCAAGAGCAAAAGCATAGAAGAAGCTGCTCATGTTCATAAGCAGGCAATAATGCTGTTAGCTGGCTTTGCGAAAAAGAATTTCCATCCCAATACACACCAAACTAACAAAGGGAAAGCCAAAAGCTTTCTTACATATCCATTATCTATTTTTTCTAACACTGGTATAGAATGACAAGAAAGTAATTTAATTGACTTTGACTGCACATGTGCAAGGATAGTGATACTTTGAATGAGGCTAGGAATGAATCGAGAAATTAATCTTTAATGGTTCTACCTCCGATTTTTAATGAAAATAATGAAACCTTTTTCTAGAAAGATCAGAAATAAATGTATTAAGATGTGTGTACGCACATAAGATTTGCTAACAATTGCTCCTAAAATATATCTATATCAGGGTTCCCGTTTAAGAAAGCTTGTTAACTTTCTATCGACTCCCTTCAGCAAGTCATCGCCAGCAATCAGGTCTTATCCATTGGTGTCAAAGGTCGAGTTCCTTTTTTTGTCTTTCCCAAAAAACTTTCTTAATGAAGTGATTCCAACTTGCAATGATCTTCTAATTGTTTTTTCACTAATGCTTGATGATGATAGTGAGCTCAGCTCTGCAAACATCCAACCTAGTGTACAACCTATTCAGACAGTACCAAAGATGGGAAAACTTATGTAGCAAATGAAAAGGAAGGATATAAATTTTGTCCAATAATGAGGCATAAGTAATTGAAGTTGTCTCAGAAGACCTTATATGAATTGTGCATATTCACCAATCCAGAAGTATGAAAATATGATGAGATAATCTAAAACGGGAAGTTGCCTCAAATGAATCTATTGGTTCAATGCAAGCTTAGCTACTTCTTTAAAAATCAACGCATATTTAGCTAAGAACAAAACCCAATAAAAGACAATGGCGACCATACCAAGAAGTTCAGATTAAACAACTCTCCGGGAAAAGTGTGAGATACAGAGTCACCTGATTTGCCTTAAAAGGAATTTTTTTTAGCATTACTGAAGCGGACATGAATAGAGACAAATGGTGTTAGAGAGCATTCTAATAGCTAATCAGAGCTAATTTAGGATCGAGACATATAATTGATTGATCAGCTGAAGTTTTTATCAAGGTAGAATAACTTAAAAGAAATGGAAAGCTAGTCCATGTTGTGTCAAACCAATTCAAAAGATTTCTCTCAACCAACCAAACTACTTAAGAACAACATCAAAATCCAAAATCGAATGCTTTCTGATCATCTTTCAATTAGGCAAGAAAGAACTTGTCCCTCCCAACTTAAGATATCATAGAGTAATTTACAATAACAACAACTACACTTCAGTCCCAAACAAGTTGGAGTCAGCTATATGAATCCTCGTTATTCCATTTAAGGTCAAGCATAGTGTAGACAATATCAACAACAACTATACTTCAGTCCCAAACAAGTTGGGATCGGCTATATGAATCCTCACTATTCCATTTAAGGTCAAAGCATAGAGTAACTTACAAAAACATCAATAACTATGCCTCAAACCTAAACAAATTGGGGTCAGCTATATAAATCTTTCAGTATTCCATTTAAGATCAAGCATAGTGTAACTTACAACAGCAACAACTACTACTACTACTATGCAAAGTCTCAACCAAGTTAAGGTCAGCTATATAAATACTCGCTATTCCATTTAACGCCAAGCATAGTGTAACTTACAACTACTACTACTACTACTACTTTTCATAAGTCTCAACCAAGTTAAAGTCAGCTATACAAATCCTCACTATTCCATTTAACGCCAAGCATATGTAACTTACAACAACAACTACTACTACTACGCATCAGTCTCAACCAAGTTAAGATCAACTATATAAATCCTCACTATTCCATTTAACGCCAAGCATAGTGTAACTTATGACAGCAACAATAACTACTACTACTATGCATAAGTCTCAACCAAGTTAAGGTCAGCTATATAAATCCTCACTATTCCATTTAAAGCCAAGCATAGTGTAACTAACAACAACAACAACTACACCTCAACAGGGGCGGATCTAAGAAGGGGTGTGGGGGTGCCACGCCACCCCCGAACTTCGACGGAAACTCTATATATACATAGGTATATATATATAATATTTATATAAATATAAAGCGTGCCACCTAGAGAACAAAATTGGCTTGTGGTGCCACGGTAGGAGGGCAACTTTACAAGGTTGATGTTGCGGGTTCGAATCCCATTTGTACCTATTTTTTTGAGAAATTTGCTGCAAACGTTTTTTAAGAGAAAAAAAGCTCCAACCACGTTTTTTTAAGGAAAAACAGGCACATTATTTATTTATTTTTATAATTGTTATTGACTTAAATTAAATTAATTACATTATTACTCCTTTGACTTTTCACTTGTTTATTTACTTGTAAAGTTGACTTTGATTTTACGTGTTGATATGACAACTGTGGAGAGAGCATTTTCGTCAATGAAGTACATAAAAAATGAAGTGCGGAATAGTATTGGTAATCAATATTTAAATGATTGTCTAGTGTGTTACATAGAGCGTGATGTATTTATAAATGTTAGTAATGATGTCATTATCGATCATTTTCAGAATATGAAAACTCATCGAGGACAATTGAATGATGAATATTTATAATATTAGTAATATTATTGAAAGTTTTAAATTTGTTAACGTCATGCTTTTAGTGTGGAGTGTGGATTTGTAATATCTTATTATTTATATTTTATTGATTGATTTATGATATATATCGAAAAGACGAATAATTTAATCAAATATAAAATTAATTTAATCGATAAGTCTATTTGACACCCACGGACTCTAAATCCCGGATCCACCACTGCACCTCAACCTCAAACAAGTTGGGGTCAGCTATATCAACCATCACTATTCCATTTAACACCAAATCATAGTGTAACTTACAAGAACTACACCTCAATTCAAAACAAATTAAAATCATCTATATGAATCCTCAGTATTCCATTTAAGGTCCAAACACACCCCTATTACAACAACCAATTTCAACCCAAAAATAACTTATCACCCCATACCCAAAAACAAGAAATCAAATTAAAATTGAACTAACCATTAAGATTAACAACTTGATAAACATGACCATCACGACCACCAATGGAAGAAGCACCAAAACCCTCTGCTTGACCAGCAAGACCACGCAAATTGGAATCAACATGAGCATAAGGCAAAGCCAACCCCATCTGGGTATTGTGGGTTTGTTGTGTAGGTAAGGAAAATGGGGGACCTTGTTGATTATGATGATGATGTTTGCTGTGAGAGAAACGGTTCCCCATTTAATGCACTATTACTAGTAACCGATAGTATTGATTTTTATGATGTTTAACGCCAAAAAGATTTAAACTTTTTTCCATTAAATTGTCACTTTCTTTCTCGTCTCTCTATCATTCTTGAAACTGAAACCTTGCCGACACTATTTTATTTTTTTTGTTAGCACAAATATGTGGAACGAATAATTATCTGCTTTATAAAATTAAGAAATAATTTATAATTTTGGGTGTATTATTATCAGAGAGTGAGCATTTCTTTTTTTTACGACAAGAGAAACTCAAGGCCGCTACTCTTTCAGTGCGCACAAAATAAAACATCCGCTTTTATGCAATAGCTCGCAAGCCACACATGAAAAATAATCCACACTAGATAAATTTGGTGCGATGAGCTTGATCCAGAAAACAAACACCCTGCTTTCGCTGGCAAGAAGTTTCAAACTTTACAAGTCTAAACCACTGAGTCACCTCGAAGGGTACAAGGGAGTATATTTTAAGGTGTTGATTCCCGATATACTTCACACACTTTGCATATTATTCACATAAAAGTTGGTCTTTTACTCCTTTAATTCATTTTTACTCGTCACTTATTTCAAATTTTTTTTTACATATTTACTAGTCATTTTCGACATATCAAGAAAAGATAAAAAATAATAAACATGTTTTACCCTTAGCATTAAATATTCCCTATGTCCCTAATTACTTGTCCATTTTTGAATTGACACACCTATTAAGAAAACAATTAATGACATAGTGAGTTTACCATTTTACCCTTATTAATTATGAAGTGGATGAAAAGTTCTACATTTTTCAAAGTAATTAGTCATTTAATTGATGGTATAATAGGTAAAAAAAATTGTTCTTTCTTGATTTGTCAAAATGGACAAGTAATTAAGAATAACTATAAAAGGAAAAATGGACAAGTAATTAGGGACAAAGGGAGTACTATTTTTTAAATGTTTTTTCATGATCTAATACTAAACATCATTTAATAGAGATAGTGGGATAAAATATTTATATCAGTAATTATTTTTTAAATAGATGTGTCAAATTAAATAATGAAAAGTGAAAATAAACGACTGGAGTACATAATTGACATGCACATATATTTAATTCTGTTGGCTACAGCCTACAGCCTACATATATGGTTAGTGTCTTTATATACACACACATCTAGCCTCTATTTATAAAACAAGATCAAATATTATATTAACGTAGTTTTAATTAGGATTAAATATTGCATGTACAGGAATACAAAGTATTTTTCATATCTTAAAAAAACTTGATATATATTGAAAAATAGGCCGTTAAATAGTGCTTCTAATAATTTCCATATATATATATAAAATAGGGAAAATTGTATGAAATAGCAAATTATTAATTCAAATTAAATGTTATAGCCATAGTTTATTTTAATTGTAATTCGCAGTAAACATTCCCTTTTTTTGCCATCTGATTCGGTATACAATTAGCCATTTACGGTATACAATTAGTCATTTTATACATTTCGATATAAAATGTATAAAATGCGTTTGTGTTTGTATAAAGCGAGAGAAAAATGTATATACAAATACAAATACATATATTTTCGTCATATACACTTATAATTATACAAATACAGATCTTATTATACAAATTACAATGTATAAATGAATTTATATAAAACTGAACAATTTGTATAAAATTGGATGTTTGTAGCGAATTATGCAAATCAAAAACTCCATAGCAAACATAAAATTTGTTATGGAACGTAATTATGCAAACAATAGCTATAACATATAAATATGATTTTTATGTTTGTTATATGTGAAAATTGTTCGTTGATACTTAAATAATAGTACTTCGCTTTTTTGTAGTTGTACCTTTTAAATTTGGGACTTAAAAGCCCTTCCACATTTTACTTCTCAGCCGCAAAATTTGTCACTTGCAATGCATGTGGGCCATTCTTTTTCTCCACTTTCCCTCTATTTATTAATGCATATAATATAGGTCCCACTTCTTATTTTGAATAGCAACTTTATTTCCTTCTCTTTATTTCTACCTCATAACTTCTTTCATTTTATTTTTTATGGCAAAATCATTTTTTAATATGCTAATTACTTTATTTGTTTACCAAATATGAAAAATTATGTCTTTTTTGTTTGTTTGTTATATATCTAAAAATTGTATAAACATAAATAACACTATAAATCATAACAATTAACAACTTAAATATTTAAAAGTTATATAATAAAATTTAATTGACTCTCGAAATTCTATTGGTATCAATTTATAAATCACAATAATTAACAATTTAAAAAGTATAAAATACATATAAAAAATCACTTAAAATCTTATCAGTGCTACACAAATTGGGACAGGAGAAGTAACATATATGGTCTGAAAATTACGTTAAATATTTAAAAGACATATAAAAAATGATTATTTTTTGAAATTCTATATATGCTACTTAAATTGAAACAAAGAGAGTAATGTATATTATTTTAAAAATTATATAAAAAGTACTAACAACTTAAAATCTTTTTAAAATCATATAAAAAATTAGCTAACTTTTCAAGTTCTATGACACTCCCTTTGTCCCATATTAATTGACTATTATTGTAAAAATAGTTGTCTCATATTAGTTGATCACCTTGCTAAATCAACAAAACATTATTTAAAATTTTCCTATATTACCCTTGCCGTTAATTCCTTTTGAAAGTGTCACATTTATTTGTAAAATTCTCAGAAAGTTTTTAAGGGTTGAATTAGTAAAGTTATTTTCTTATTTATAATTTCTTCAGTACCGTGCAAAATGAAAAATAATCAATTAATATGGGATGAACGAATATTGGGCACCGTGCTAGCACGGGATCATGTATCTAGTAATAAAGAGACGAGCGAGAGTTTGAAGAGAGAGGAGATATAATGGGCCATTTGTTCAAACGTCTTCATCATGTTCATGGCCCAAATACCCACCATCTTCACAACAAAGCCCATAATATTGGAAAGGAAGTACTGGACTCGCCCCAATAAAGCCCATAATATTGGATTTATCTAAAGAGCTCGTACTTTTGCATAGTATTAGAGTGAGCCGTAGGGGTGTGAAAAACGGAACCGATTAATAAATCGAATCGGAAAAAAATGTTATTGGTTTATTGCTATTGGGTTATTGAGTTAACGGTTTCTTAATGGTTTTATAAAAAAAAATTATCGGGTTATCGGTTCGGTATTGATTTTCAATATTGGGTTATTGGGTAAATTGCTAATCCATTAAGGGGTCGTTTGGTACAAACATTGATAATGCAGAGATTAGTAGTGCAGGGATTATTTTTTGTCAAGTGTTTGGTTCATTACTTTCCACTTAATCTTGTGTTTGATTTAAAACTCTACAAAAAATTCTTTCCTATTATACCCTTGTGTTATTATGAGATTGTTAGTTTCATATAATTAGGTCAAGGTACATAACCACCGGACAATATTTTTTTTATAGGATTTTCTATTCCATTTAACAAGTTAAGTCAAATATGTGTGTATATATATATATATATACACATAAAATTGTTATTAATTTTAAGGTGTGATGTACCACTACTATATATATATATATATAAAAAAAATTGTTATTAATTTTAAGGTGTGATGTACCATTAAGGAGATCATTAATGGCACGGTGTATTTCTAATTTTTTTGTTGGTCAAGTATATCTTCAACTTAACATAGATTTAAGACTACTTAAATTGTTCAATACCTAAAACTTGTTTTTTTTTTTTAAATAAAAATAAAAATAGTTCAAGTGGTTAATCGACAAACTATCTTGAATAAAAAAAATCAAGAAAAAATGGAGAATTTTTTTTAGGGAAATCATTAAAATTACACAAAAACGAATTTGGAGAATTAAAAAAGAACATTTATAACCATTTCAATATAAATAAAAAGGAAATTAAATTACAAAAAAAATTTAGGAAAAGGAATAAGGGGATAGTTTAGTCATTTAGGGATCTTATCCAAGGTTTGTTAAGCCTTGGATTAGTTATCCCTTCATTTTCTAAGGATAAGATAAGACCACATATGGTGGATAAACAATCCGTGAATTAAATTAAATAAAGTAACCAAACAATGTATTAGATGGACTAAATTTTAATCCATGGATTATTTTATCTAATACCGCCTACCAAACGGGTCCTAAGAGTTAAGACTATAGTAATTTAATACTTTTACATATGGGTGTACAAAACCGAACTGAAAACCGAATCAAATCACAAACCGAGAAAAAAAATCCGACTAGTGGTTGGTTTGACTTGGTTTGGTATTGGAAAAAAAACCCAACTATATTTGGGTTGGTTTGGTTTTAACTAAAAAAAACCAACCCGAGACCAAACTAACCCGACATTATATATATATTTTTAAAATTTTATTTTATACATAAAAATATTTACTTTGATATAATTTTTAAATATTTCTTATACTTTTTCATAGTTTTTATCTTTTAATATATTATT